CCCCAAAACCCCAAAACCCCAAAACCCCAAAACCCCAAATAAGAATTCTTCAGTTGAATTTAACAATAATTATTATTCATAAATATGGACCCTAAGGCATACAAATTTGGTAAAGATTTTGACGAACAGGATTTTAATGAATTCGAAGACCACCCAAAAGGTACAGAATCGGTTATAAATGCGTATAGATAACTCAGGCTACGAGGAAGGAGACCCTATTGGCCTGGAAGACCTCAAAGACCAAGAGGACAGTCAGTTTGAGCAGGAATTTGAAGACAAATTAGATCTTAATAAGAGCGAAGGGTTTTACCAAAATGAGTCTGAACAAGGTGAGTTGTTATTATTATTATCACAGACCAATCAGAAGGGGATTCTAACAAGGAAATGACAATGGAAGAAGCAAAGAATAAAATCAGAATTGTGTTCAAATATTATGCCAGCTTTGGCGATAGGCTTAATCTTTCTAATATTCAAGCCAGTAAGGTCGTTAAGCTCATGAAGGATTCCAGCGTGATAAAAAAGGGCAGTGTCACGAAGAAAGATGTTGATATCCTGTTTGTAAAGATCAATAAATCAAAGCCAAACATGAATTTTGATGATTTTGTAAAGCTTCTTTTCTCCATATCTACTATAAAATACACAGTTGATCCTAATGAAGCTTTCTGGTTATTGTTGAAGAACCATATTTTTCCTGCTTGTGATGCTATTGTAGGTGTAAAGTACAAAACTAAGGAAATAAAGGAGAACAAGATTGTGACAAAGTTGTTCAACTCCATCATTGTCATTTTACATGATATCTATCAGAAGTACTTCACTCACAAGATCAAGAAGTCCTATCATAGCCTGAAAGAGGAGATGCAGGAGTCTGAAAAGACCTTATTTGAGTTCTTAAGAGATTTTGAAATATTCCCACAGATCATCAACAAGAGTAAAGTCTATAATCTATGGACCCAGATCACAGAGAAAACTACAAGCAGTGAGTCCAGTTTGTAAATATTTAGGCGAGAAAAAGGATCCTATTTATAAGAACTGAGTGCTAAAACTCTCCAAAGCTTTTGGTGCAAAGTCAGACCATTTCAAAATCATTAACGAGAATTCAGCATTTCCGTTTGGTTTCTTCCTAGATTTCTTAGCATTAATAGCAATAACAGCTTATATCGAAGATGAGTCGAATGACAAGGTGTTTCAAAAGGTGTCAATTCCAGAGTCTGTGGTGATATTACTGGAAAGAATGGACTTGTCTAGAGGATTCACTTCTTCGCAATTTGGAACTTCTCTGCTTCCACCTAACCATGTAATCCAACAAATAATTCAAGTGAGAAACAAAGAAAATGAGACTGACAGTAGTAAAATGTCTGAAGAGGGGACTCATAGGTCTAGCCAAGTCCTGTGGAACGATACCTTTCAGCCAAAGCAGGGTGATGAAAGTTCAGCAGGATACGAAGAGGTGAAAACCTCTCCTAAACCTCGCTACAAGTCTATCAAAGGGCAATACATTGAGGAAGATCCTGATCTAGAGTACGATGAGAAGGACCCAACAAGGTAAGGTTTCTCTATTACCTTCAGACTTTTGACCGAGACTACCTATGGAGACACTGAGGAAGCCAAGAAGGTAAACAATTAGCCTGTCTCCTTGACAAGGATTTTTGGAACTGATTTTTACAGAGGCTGGGCCGATAGCTTGGTCAATTAGAACTATTTGGGTTATCTGTGGATGGACTAAGGGAATTTTGAGGCTTGCTAATATGGATTGTGCATAAGGGATGTTGAGGGAGAAAGAAATTGAGAGACGGGTTAGATTAGTAAACGAAGAAGGGATAATTTTAGTAGAATTGTGAAAATTTGATGAATTTGAAGGGTTTTAGCAGTTTGAAAAGATAAAAACATACTTATCCTTTTCTCATATATAGTCAATCACCTCAATCTTCAAGTACTACTGAGCTTATGGAGAACCGACTAACACTTCCAAACTGAAGAGCTCAAGATTTATAAAACTGCTCAAAGATTCAGGAATCGTGAAATAATTTGAACTATTTTCAACTTGGAGAGATCAGTCAGGGGTTTTGGGGTTTTGGGGTTTTGGGGTTTTGGGGTTTTGGGGTTTTGGGG